GATAAAAGGATAAAATGTATGATATGTTCATCATACATTTAATAGGAAATTACAATTATTTTGAGAACTTTGAAAAATTATATAAAGTCTAGCAATTTTATTGTTAGAAGGTAGAATCCTGATTTTGCCTTCACCTCTTGTATTTAGCATAAGTAACGGCAAGGCACTTTTTACTGTTTAGGAAATAAATGTAAAATCTGATTTTTAGTTTTTCATAAAAATAATTTTGTCTTCTAATTTTTACATTATTAACACCAAGGAATCAGGGTCTTGTAGGAAACAAGATTTAAAATGACACCTTCAAAACAATGACACGTTTTTGACACACATGAAAACTATACTAGGTGAGGAGAAATGTATGTAATGAGGCTACAGGTTTGGAAATTGGGGGAATTAAAGTCAAGCAATTAATTACTAACAAAGATGGCAACTGTGTTTCTTTTTGTCTTTCACAGTGAGTGCACAATTATCACTTAATACTAAGACTGGGGAATAAACCATCTATAATCTACTGAAAAAGACCATCTGCTTCTATAAATTTTGTTCTCATACACTTGCCAAAAGAAGAGAGCATATTAACAAAATAATGGGCCCTGCATTGTTAATTGCTAGGTTGTTTGCAGTTGTGCTGTTGCTATTAGAATTTAATAAACCATTCCTTCTGCTAAATTAATAAGCAGCCAAGATTATGTAATAGCTGCTTTCAGCTGCTAATTATTTTTCCCATAATTCCTTCCTCTCCCTACCCCCACTTACACCTTTGTGTGTGTGTGTGTGTGTGTGTGTGTGTGTGTCTAGGTAAACAGAGATGAGACTGGCAATATGTCACCAGTAAGTTTCCAGTACTCAGTTTTTTGATTCGCAGACCAACATAAGAAGCATAACCAATGAGTTTAATCTTGGAGGTGTCGATCTCAGAAACCTTGAGAGCAAACACGTTTTTCATAGAAAAAGAGAAAGGCAGTATTTGGAATCAGTTTTCATTTCATGGTAGTACAGCTATCTTTGAAGAAGCTAACAGCAACTGTTTCATGTAGTAAGGGAGAAATTAGGCCATTACCAAGCACCATTGGAGCATGTGTGGGCAAGAAGCTGGGAGAGATTTGGGCAGGGGACGTAAAGAATTACAGAAAGCCGGCTCTGTGCTTTCTGTTGACCACTTCTTTAGTATTCCAATACACATTAATCAGGTATGTTAGTAGGAAACTTTTCAAGCAGCATGGTAGCACTGAAAAGGGGAGGTATTATACATTTATTTGTTAAATAAGGACATTTAAAAATGTCCTCAAATATCTTATATATCATCTTAGTTTTGCAGACATTTTTAACACACACAAATGAACGTGATATCTAATGAGAGACCTTTAAATTGATTAAATTCGGCTTCATGAAAAACTTAACATTTCCTTTATACTTTGGGATAGTAAAAAAATTCAGGCGACTATGTTTACTAAAAAGAGGGCATGGTCCTCTTTTGGCAAATTTTTATCTTCCTTTGTAAGAAGCTGGGTGGCCCCAAGAATGAATACCATTCAACAGAGAAAACCCGCTGTTCAGGCAAGGTCACCTAATCCCGTAGGTTTCCCTTTTCCTTATCTATAAAAATGAGTTGAACTATGTGACATATCCATTCTATCATTAAAAAAAATAATACTAATGAACATTAGTTGCTCAGTACTAGCTCAGCATTAAGGCTCTTAACAAATCTATCATTTTAGTCTTATTAATCAACCCATATTTATCAGTTATGGACCAAGCAGTGAACTAAGTTAAAACACAAAATGAAAAAAAAAATCCACGATGTGCTAATGAGAGGCTAACAGACATGTGGGCGAAAGAGGGATTGGTTCTTACAGAGTTTTAGGTGAGGCTTCATAGATGTGACATTGGAAAGGAAGGACATGTCAGGCAGAGCAAGTCGTCGGCAAGGGTAAACTGGAACCCAGGCGGCTGGTGGGGGCGACCCCGTGTGAAGGAAGCGGGATATGGAAGATGAAGTGCTGCTCGGACTTTGCAGCGCAGAACGGACAGTAATTCATCCAGTCCGCATCACTGAGAATGGGCGAGGCAGGCCCAGAGAGACCCTAGCGAAGCCGGGGCGAAAGTGGCTGGGCCAGGGCTGTAGCAGGGCGAGGGGAAGCAGGGGCCGCTCTGTGAACGCGTGCACGAGCTTCGCCAGAGCCGATTTGTTTTCCCCAGAGTTGTGGCACTCTTCTCTTTCACCATTCTCATCAACCGTCACACCTCTCAGTCCCACTCTTTGGGAACACTGAGAGTCTCCGCGGAACCTGAACTCGGCTCTTGGCGGTCCGGACCTTCCCTACCCTGCACCACGGGGTCAACTAAGGGCGCCACAGAACCCCATCCTCCAGTCACTTAAGAGCCAGGGAAACCGCCCCGCTTGTCCCGGAGACAGGGGCGTAAGCACGCAAGCGCACCGGCCGCGGCTGTAGCCGCTTCCGGGTCACGTGGCCTGGTTTCCGGTTGGCACCACGCCTCCTGATAAAGATGTAGCCAATTGGCTTGCTCGCGTTACGCGGCTCCCGCTTTGCCTCGGTGCGATTGGTCTGGGCGGAGAGGCTTCTCGCGCGTCACCCAGCTCGCCCCGCCTCCCGCCGCAGCCCTGGCTCCTCCCTCGTCCAGCCCCTGGGCGGAGACTGTCGGTTAGCCCTCCCCTTGCCGGTTAAGCCTTCCCTCCACCTAGCGGCTCCCCTCCCCACAGCAACACGGCTTCTCTTCCTCAGCTCAGCGATAGGGGCTCCCCCTCGGCCGCTGCCGCCACCGCCGCCGCCGCCGCCGCCGACCGAGCTACGCCGCGGCCGCGGCCCGCGGCCGCCGTAAGTCCCGGGCAGGAGTGGAGGTGTCGGGGATGAGGAGAGCGAGGGATGGCTGGGCGCGCTCCACTTCGCCTCGCGCGCTCCCCGACGACCCCACCCCGAGTCCGCCCGACCCGCCTGTGGGGCGCCGCGCCCCGCAACTCACTTCTTTCTAGCTCCACGCCGGGCGCTCCACTCTGAGCTGAGCCGGGGTTCGGGAACCGGTCCTGGGCACTACGGGAGACTCGCGGCACCTGTGGTTCGGGAATCGGCTCAAGTTTTGCGGGGCATCTTTGGGAGGGGCCGGCGGTTGGGGGGCGGCGGCCGAGGACTCTGGGCACCCCCCGCGCGGCCGCGGATGCCATTGTCTGCTCCGCTTCTGTCTGTTACCTCGGCGGGGCTCGGGCAGTGATGGAGTGTGGCCCTGGGAGGGGTAAGGATCGGAGTCGCGGGACCCAACGAACGCTGGACCAGAGCCCAGTCCACGGCTTAACCCATTGTTATTAATACCAGTCTCGAGGAATTGTGGTGTCTTGTGATTTGCGACAAAATCAAAGCGTTGGCTTTTAACGAGAAGGAAGGAATATGTGTGCCTTGCAATTGTGTTTCGTCCCATGCTAGCACATAATTTATTTTAAGGAGAGTACATTGTTTTTTTCGTCCTACAAAGTGTAGGGCGGATACCGGACCCTGCTTCAGAGAGCCTGAAACCCATACTCTTTCCGCACGCAAACTCCCTCCCCTTCAGTTCACCCAGATCTAGGAATAAGGAGTCCATTCTTTTCCAAGTTCTGGTAACGGGTTTTCATTAAATGTCCAGTTGATGCTTCGCTCGCTCTCCTCTTCGAATGCGGCTATCTTCAGGACTTCTGTGCAAGGCACTTTGGTACCGCTGGTAGTACCCGTGTATTTTATACTACGGAAGCTTGGAAACTGAA